GAACTACAAGGTTTCGAATTAATGTTGAATAACTTTGTAGCAGAGGGTGAGTTTGATAGTGCATTAAAGCAAAAAGATCTAAGGACTCTATCCATAGATTGAAACACTTGAACTAAAAATGACAACAATTATTATTCTTATAAGTTTTTTTAATCTAAATTAAAAAAATTAAAAAAATAAAATCGCAAGATTTCTAGGGTTGGTTTTTTGCTTAAGATTGTTATTTATAAAAATTTATTTTAAATGAATAGAAAAAATTAAGAAATTATCTTCAGTGGGTCGGAATTAGGTGGTGCTTAGTATGTCATTTGATTTGCTACAAAATTGCTTTGTTTTTTAGTTCTTTTACGCCATCTATTGATAATTTTTTTTTGTCTGAAGCAGTCTATTAAGTCAATGATTTTTTTAACTATCATTGTTTTATTATCATATTTTGATAAGCTATATTTTTTTTAATATTTTAATATTTATTTTAATTTTTCAAATTAAAGTTCAAAATATTATTCCTTTATTTTATATTGTAAACCTAATGCTGATCAACAAGTGAAAATTGACTATAAGTTTAGGAAAATGTAGCAGTAGACCAGTAGAAGTCAAGTAATATTTTGTGTAATTTCTTTGAGCCAATAAAAGCACTGGTTTAGATCTCGAGAAAGCGAAAAGTATGAAAATCTGAATTTTACAAAACTGCAGAGGCCAAGAATATGATAATGGAACGTATATAAAATGGGGATGTAGTGGTTTACAAAAACGAATACTTGAAATAAGTTTGACAACGCTTTATGTAGATGTCTCAATCAAGATTTTATAGACATACACTTTTTGAACTTTGCATCAAATTTATCTTTTATTTGGCACTTCAACATCGCATTAGAAAATCTTTTAAACTCATGTACAAAATCTGAAAACGGATTTTTTTCCGATACACGCTGGGAATGCAGAATCAATAGTACGCAGTTTGTTTCTTATCAAATAGCAGCAGTCTAAAATCATTGGTGGACGTGGCTGATAATGCAAACAATTCAAAAAATAGACATGACTAAAACAACTAGACTAGTAAAGAAATAAAAAATTTTCTGTATTTGTTTACTTTACATATCTGGTGCAATTTTTTGTTTTAAACTTGGCCTAGATAAAATACACCTTAAATTCAGCATTTTTGCACAAATAATTGAAGGTTTACAAACGCAAAGCTGTACTGCATAATGGTTAGCAAATAATGTGTTGATGGATGTTGATCCAAATTGTTTATGTTTTTAATCTAATCTTGTTTATGTTTTTAATCTTTAGCCTTGTATTTTCTTTCCAACAAGCGAAGATGTAAAACACAAAGGGGTTTGTTAACAAAAAAAATCATCTTATATATAAATATAAGATGATTTATAACTCATAAACTTATAGAGAAGGGTGAACAAAAGAAAGACTGCACTTGGTTAAAACTTTAAAACCAGTTCCTACTATTTATGACCAAAACCAGTTCCTACTGTTTATGACTAAAACCAGCTCCTATAACTCACCAGTTTATACTATTTAAAAGTTTAAAAACAGTTCCTACTATTTATCCAGATTCTATAGAAACATTTACTACTTTTGGTTTTACCAATAAGAAGATCTCTTAAAAAAAGGGAAATGTGATACCATACACTTGATAAACAATGTTAGAAATGATTAATTAAATAGAAAAAAATTTGTTTTTTCTGCATTTATTTGTTTTTTTGATGGTATTACTGCCAAGTCTGGTAAAATTTCTCAGAAAAAGTTTCACAATATTCACAAAATGGATAAAAAATTTAGCTGCTAATCTAAGAAATGTTTCTAAAATCACGGGGTGGATCTAGATAACCTCCCTCTCCCTCACTCTAACTTTAAAAGTAGTTGGGAAGGAAATTGCAAAAATCGACAAATATATACATATATATATATATATATATATATATATATATATATATATATATATATATATATATATATATATATATATATATATATATATATATATATATATATATATATATATATTATTTAATCAATTTAGAGCGTTTCTTTGCTTAAAAGTATGCAAGGATATCACTCGGTGACTTTACTATTGTAAAAACATATTTTTAAACATTATATACAAATTTATTATAAAAAATATATATTTACACATTACCATGAATAAATATCACATTGCAAAATTTAACATTTATGTTGTAACAAATGTAATATAAAATAACACAAATTATGATGACGCAATTTTATTGCCATATTTTGTCAGGAAAACGTAAGTTTTAAAATTTTTATTTTATTAAACCTTGCTGATAAATACAAAAAATCATCTCAAAAACAAAAGCATTTGCCATTACAATTTTTACACTGCGAGACATAATGATAAGACACCCCAAAAACATTTATAAAACTCTACTATATATTTATATTTAAAAATTATTTTTTATAATAAATGAGAGTAAAATGATTACAAAACTAAACAACATTTAAAAAAATTTATTTTAAACAAACTCGCATTTTATTAAAAAAAAAAACTGTTTTTCTAGTGTGATAAAACTATAAGACACTTTTGAAAAAAAAGACGTCTCAATTTTAAACAATCAATAGTGGGTACTTTTACAATTTTTTTGAATCACTCCAATCATTCTAGAAGGTAAAGAATCATACTACTTTTTTTATGTACGAAATGTTAATTGCTTCCCATTCGATGAATGATTTCATGTTAGCTATTGAACTATATTGTTTACCACCTTCAAACATTATTTGCAACAACTGTGCCCAATCATTTTCAATAATCTTCAGGTCTTGAAATCTAGCTGGCCACTTCAATATTTTATTTAACTGCTGTTGAAATATTCCTTTACTATCTTAGCTGTATAAACACTAGCATTATCTTGCTGAAAAACAAAACTTTTACCACCTATGACAGATGCTTAACGTCTTAAAAATTCTAAAACAATCAAAAGATAATCCTTAGACTACATCTTTCTGTCTATATAATGAACTTTTGATTTATTATGATATCCAATTGCATACCAAATCATTACACCATCACCAACCATTTGACGTTGTAGCTGTGTTACTGGTTCTTTACGCAAATCCTGAAAATAATAACTCCATCTATCCGGCCCATCAAGACAAAATCGTACTCATTGGAAGTACTACTCATTGTCACTTTTCTTTCCATGTTACGCGGTCCTTTGCAAAAGATGTTTAATTGTTTATGTGATTTGTTGTCAAAGGTAGTTTTCGCTAAAGTTTTTTGCGCAAATGGTGAAAGGCATTACGAACAACTTGCTTAACTGTACATAAATTAGCAACCGCATCTGCTTCTGCAGCAATTCAATTTACAGTTAATGAAGAATTTGAAGCTTGTCTCAACAACCTTCGCCTTTCACGGTCGCATAATACTAATGGATCTCCGGGACATTTTTTTATTTCATACATATGAGGACTATTAACGGAGTTTTTAATCACAGTTCGTCTGCGTACAGTAGCTCTAGCCATTTAACTAACGGAGTAACCCATTTTCAATAAGTTAGAGAGTACTTTTTCCTCATCTGGACTCAACGGTGCAGCACGGCCCATTATTAATTCATTTGTTATATTAGACTTGATAAATAAAATCTAAACGAAACTTTTGACTGTTCACACAAGTTTACAGTTATATAACCAGCTGTGGTGTTTACATCAAATTAATATTCTTAATTGCCCACAACTGCGGTTTACAAATAAACGTTTTTTGTAAAACTGTCTTACAATTTTGTCGCACTAAAAAAACAATATTTTTTTTAAAAAAATGCGAATTACCTTTAAAATAAATTTGTTAAAATATTGTTTAGTGTTGTAAATCCTTTGCTTTCATTTACAATAAAAATTAGTTTTTAGTTATATGAGTACAGTAGAGTTTTATAAATGTTTTTGGGGTGTCTTATCGATAAGACACCCCAAAAGTTGTACACTGCGCGACATAATGATCATTATGTCGCGCAGTGTACAACATCATTTTAATATAAAGAATAGTAACATAAAACTTTTGACGTTAGTGTCACAAACAGCGATATATCTGAACCCAACTTAAAAATACAATGAATTCTAATACTTGCTTTATGCCAAATAATATTTTATAAGGATGCATGGCGACAAAAATAGCCAGTTTTTTTATTAGTGACAAAAAACACTCAGTGTTTTTGTATTATGTTTTTTATTATGTTTTTTGTATTATGTCAAATTTAAAAAGTTTTATTTAATATTTTATATTTATTTTAAATTTATTGAAATGCAAAAACAATTTAATTACGATTGAAAACAGCAAACTTATCAATGAGTTTTTTATTCTATTACTAACTCTATACAAATATTCATCAAAGCTAAACTATTTTGATTGTGGTCCTGTACCATGGTGCTTCAAATATAATTTTTCAGTCGCAAAAGTGATTAAAATGTGCATTCATATTCACATGAAGTTGGCTAAAAAGTAGCAAGTAAATTTGTAATGTTACTTAGGCAGGAAAGTTTATCACCTTTAGCAACTCAGTAATATTATAATAGACACCACCGTTATAAATTTAACCATAACACTTCATAAATGAAGCTCACAAGGTAAAGCATGGGAATTCAGTAAATCTGTTCTATAAAAATCACAAATAGATATGATAGAGTCCTTTTAGTGTCACAAAAAAATTGAACTTCTGAAATCATTTTTCAAAGAAATAGCACAAAATTCTTGAAAACTATACAAAACAAAAGTAAACTTCTTTTACCCAACGTTTTCTGCAAAAACTTTTTAACTGTTTTTTGACAGCCAACAGAGCAGTTCTTTCAATATGCTTATTTAACTTTTGTTGTCTGGTAGATAACAGTTTAATAAGTATAATACGTCAATAATGTGTGGCAATATTTGAGATATCGCACATTGTATGAGGCACAAATACCTAAATTAATTCTATGACTGTGGCAATAAAAGCTTTTTAGCTTTTTCATTCATTTAATTAAAATACAAGAAGACAAACCTTTAGTGTGACCATCGATTGCTTATGCACCATCATATCAATGCACTCTGTAAATATTAAATAATTTTTAACTAATAACACCATTTTGCAATCTAAAAAACTGATTAATTCGACTATTGAAATTTGAATCAACAAAACATATAATTTATAAGAACTATACATATAATCAATATTTCTTTACTTAAACTGTCAGAGGCATCATCAGAAAAATAGAAAATTTTTGATTAAGTGACATTTTAGACTATAACTTTTAACATCTAACAATCAGCGACATTTTTAATATCATAATAAACCTTATTTATTTAGGGTGTAAGTGTTTTAGGACGTCCAAAAGTGTTTTTTTATAAATAAAATCAAATACTTACAAATTAAATGTTTAAATCCAAATTAAATAAAAAAAAAAGTTTTAGAAAAAATATTGTTCGGGAAGTCCATTGGTGAACTTTGTCATGTATTAATTACTAAAACTTGTTTCACCTTTAAAAACCGTTAAAACTTGTATCGCAAAACAAGGGACTTTGAAAAAGATTTTATTTACAGTCTACTACTTTGGGGACGTCCAAAAATTGTTATAAATAAAGAATTTAATGTATCGCTTTTTTAACAACAACAAAAAAAGATTAAAAACTTTTTTGTTGTTTAATAAAATAATATTTGGGACGTCCATTGATCCTTTTTGTTAAATAGTATTTATTTGTTGTTACTTTAACCTCCAGTTGAGAAATATATTTTTATATAAAATTTTATATAAACTTTTATATAAACTTTTATATAAAATATAAACATATAAATTTTTATATAAACTTAGTAGGGGTCGTCCACAAGTTACGTTACGTAACTTTGATCATTTTTAAATTTAAATAATTGTACTTGACATTTATTATGAAACTATAATAGTTGCTATAAATTTTTACTTTTTAAATTGTGAAGATGCTTCTAGTTTTTTCATCTTATTGATGTGTAATGAACAATTTCCAACTCAGAAGACCAATTTTGCTTTAGTAGTTGACTGTAAACAGCAGCTGTTAAAAGTGATAAAAAGCCTGAGTTTCAGCATGCAATGACACACTGACTTTCAATTCGGAAAGCTTCAAATGCTTCCAATTGTGAAAATCTCTTCAGCATTTCACCTCGACAAAGAAAATAATCCAAAGCATGACTAACACTACGAAATGACATTTTTAATAGATAATATAAATCCAGTTAAGAGGATATTTAGATTTTTGTGAATTTAAATATAAATTTATGAAAAATATAATCTTAAATATAAACAGTTTCCTATGTTTTCGGCAAAATAAAGAAGGTATGGCAGTGTCTCTAGGCCGTGGTTTCAAAGCAAGTAGGCCATGGTTTCAAAGTAATATGATTAAAAAATTGATGCAATCAATTTTTATTCAACTCGACATTGCACTGGAACGTATAAAGTGAATTAATAAACTCAAGAACGCCTAAACAGATTGGCAATGATATAGGACAAATAAATAAATGCAAACTAGCATAAGTATTATTCAATTAAATTTGCAAACATTGGTTTTAGTGCGAGTTGGCATAAGTGCAAAACAGTTGCAAAAAAAGGAATAAGTGCAAATTGGCATAAATGCAAACTGGTATAAGGGCGAAGCACTTGCAAAAACTGATTGTTCCGAGTTGGCATAAATGCAACCCGGCATAAGGGAGCCAAAAGAATTTGTTAACATTTACATAAGTAAAAACTGGCATAAGTGCAAAATGCCAATTTGTACTTGCATTATTATTTGCAGTTTTATTCAACGCACTTATGCCAATTTGCATTTATTTTAATTCTCACAAATTACAACATTTTGTAAATGTTTTGCAATTATTCCAGTTCGCACTTATGCCCATTCTCACTAAGGCTAATGTTTTCTAGCTTTATTTGACGCACTTATTGCGACGTTAGAATTATCTTGTGCTATCTCCATGTTTTTGCAAACTGAGAAAATCGATGTCAAAGTTTGAATTTGTTCGCAGCTAAATTGAAAAAATATTTTGAGAATTTAGGTATTTCCTAAGATTTAAAAATGTTTTATTATTAATTTTTAGATAAAAAAAACTTTTTAGAATTACGCTAACGCCCTTTTTTTCGCACCCTCTTTTGGAGATAGAACAAAATAACTTTGGTTTTTAGTAAAATTCAAAAATATTATGTTCTTACATCATATATATTAAACATATTAAGTACTTTTTTTTAACAACGACATGTTAGAAATTGATGAAATTTTGTTTTACCTGCTAATTATTCTTACGCAGTACCATACACTCCTAATTTATGGGCATGGGCCCCTAAATTAGGGGCATGGGCCCCTAATTTAACGGGACCCTTTTCAAAATATAAGACGCTTTTTGTATTACCTAAAAAATTAAGTTTTTTTAAATAAAATGAGGCCCTAATTAGGAGAACTTTTAGAAGAGCCTCTAACGACACTGTTCTTACGACTTACATTTACTTTAATTACCTGTAGGCGCCGGCCCTGGACAAGACTAAGACGTCTAATTTAAAACGGAAAATTTGGCTGCGTAATAATAATATAAACGTATTAATATAATATAAACGTATAAAATAAATTATGAAAGGTATATAGAAAGGAGTTATGTTAAAAAAATGTAATAATAAAAGAAATAACATTATGTAACTATCTGATAATTCACAACAATTCAACTAATCTAATCACAAACTCCATGCAAGATGAACTTGATTTTATTTTTCTTATGCCTGTGTATCCATTAATAGAGTTTAACTTTTTATTAAAAGTTATTGCAAATATTTACAAATAAAAAATTGTTACTCAAGTTAACGTCAGGAAGGGCATCAGGTTGTGAAACATTGCTTTAACTCTTTCATAGTGGCCTTTATGTCACTATGGAAAACCATCCAAACCAAACAAGTGGGGGAAAATGAATATAAAAGTACAAAAAAACAAAAAAAAAACACAAGCTAAACAAAAATTTTTATCAAGATTTCAAAATAATATTATTTCAATGTGTTTTATATTTATATTTATACTAAATAAATATTTTATTTAAATATGTTATTTATATGTATATTATTTATATTATTATATATATATATATAAATATGTTATTTATATTTATACTAAACATATAACAACCCTAAAAATATTTTGACTTTGTTAATGTTTTGTAAATGTTCAATTTATTATTGTTTTATAAAATGCAATATCAACAGCAGGCATGTATGAATACATGGAAATGATATCATTGGCTTTTGCAACAGATATAGACTGATAAGAAGCACGAAAGCAAGCTGCCATTGGTATATTGGTATTTAATGGTTTTGCAACAATGGTTGATGCTGCTTTCTTGACAGACTTATTTATACGAGCTTGTGAATAATTATCTGAAAATGAGGTTTTAAAAAAAACATGGTATGGCAGTCCGTTTCGATAAACAAGATTTTTAACCTTTGAATAAGGCACTAACTTATAACTTGACAAACCAGCGACAACTAAAAAATTCTTTACATCTCCTAATTGCATTTGGTAAACACAGAAAGGTTTTTTACGGTTTACATTTTTAATAGCTCTTTCTAGCCCAAGTGGACTAAATATTTCTGCAGCAGAGAGGGATTTTTCAATCTGACTATGAATGTTGTCACATTCTTGAATGCTGGAATGACCTGGCTCGCAGAACTTCTGTTCAATTACTTTTATTTGTGGGTATCGTATTATAAATTCACACAAAGCTGCTGACATGAAACTATTGCGGTTTTGTGGTACACATGAATCGAACCAAAGTATGAACTTATTTATGTCAAGGTCAGCCATGATTTTCAAAAGCAAACATGTTACAGCACTGGCTAGATCATTTCCTCCACGACCAGTCATGGCTTCGTGCCAAAGGATGCAATAACCCTTCCTGTTAAGCGAGCAATGACCAGTTAAGTTATAATTTGAAAGTTTTCTCTTGTAATAAAAGTTTCCCACATTAGCTCTAGGCAAATTTAAAACATTTTCAAGGTCAATACAAACAATTGCAGTTTTAGAATCAACATTTTGGCGATCATTTTCACGTTCAGTTTTGGTATCATTCCTTGATTTTATGTGCTTATTATAACTATCTCTTTGTTCATTGCTTGCATTAACAATGTTGCGATACTCATAGCATGTGTCACATAAATCTTTCTTCAGTTTTTGAAATTCTATATTGAACTCGTGATTAAAGATATAACGATACATATGTTCTTTTGCTGGAGGAGAGACATTTTCATCACAATATATTTTATAAAGATCATACATTCTACCTATATTTAGTGATCCTTCCATGTATTCTTTATGTGTCTTTTTCCTGCTATAATGAGCATCAATTCTTGCGAAAAGGTTAATATGGTCTCGTACAACTTGTTTAGACTCTTCTAGTAACCTTTTTTTAACATGTTTCCCTGATTTTGATTGCAATGGTGTTCCAGTAGTTAAAGATTTATTAAACTTATGAAAGTAAAACACTCTATGGCTGCTAATATTCAATGTTGAAAGA